TGTCTGTCTCTCTCTCTCTCTCCTTTTCTCTCTCTGTTTCTGTCTGTCTCTCTCTCTCTCTCTCTCTCTCTCTCTCTCTCTCTCTCTCTCTCTCTCTCTCTCTCTCTCTCTCTCTCTCTCTCTCTCTCTCTCTCTCTTATTTGCTCGTTCTACTTTTCTTTTCTGATATTTTGTTAATTTTCCTTTTTTTCTTTTCTTTTATTTTAGCGAAACTTCCCTTTCTTTCTTTCTCTGTGTCTTTTCTATCGCCCTTTTTATTGATGTTTTTGTCTTTGCATTTTATTTTCTTTTGTTCTTACTTTCGCTTTCCTTGATTTTCACCTTTTTATTCATGTTTCCTTTCTAATCTAATTCGTCTTATTGCCCTTTTGTTTTGTCGTTTCCTTTATCTTGGTTATTTAGCCTCATATCATTTATCATTATTTTCTTATTTCTTTCTTTACAATTTCCTTCTCCAATCTATTTCGTAAATAAAAAAATAATATAAGCGTAAATGATGCAACGTAAATAAGAATAACAGAAGTGAATAAGAAAACACACACACAAAAACAAACAAACACACAAACAATAAACATACACACAAAGAAACAAACACACACATAGAACCAAACAACACGCACAGAAAAGCACATACACAAACAAACATACACACAAAGAAGCAACACAACTAACAAACATATCCAACACAAACAAACAAAGAGAACCACAATCACCACCACCCCCTCTCCCCCCAAACAGGTCAGGTCAACGGGCAACCTCGCCGGCGTCCACTCTCCGGCCATGGGTCAGATGGGGTCAAAAATCCCAGTGGAGGTCCAGTGCTTCCCCCTCTTCTCGTACCTGCTCGCCCTCAACGCCACCTCCGTCGGTTACGTCAGCCTCGACGTCGAAGGAGCCGAGGCCGAGATCCTCCTCCACCTGCCCTGGGATCGAGTGGACGTCAAAGTGTGGAATATCGAGCACAGGGCGACCAACGAGGGCTTCAAGGTCCACTACGAGGAGCCCTGGGGTCTCCGTGCACCTCCACCTCCTCCTCCATCTCGTCCTCATCCCCCTCCTCCTTCCGGTTCGGTTGGAGGACGCGAAGGAGATGGAGGGAGAGAAGGAAGGGGGGATTCAGGGGAAGAAGAAGTCCCTCCGCCCAAGAAGATTGTTTACGTGACCCAGCATGACCCCGCTGAGGGGAAGGACCCTTACCTGGTCAGATTTATGAGGGAAAAGGGATATCGACTCTATGACTACTGGGATGGGGATTATACGTTCGTCAAGGCTGACTCGGAAATCTGTCGAAAACACTGCACAGTCGAGGTCGAGTGGAGTCGAATAGGCCTATGTACCGTATTCTCTTCTAGGTCGAGGTCGAATAGGCCTATGTACCGGTCGAGGTCGAATAGGCCTATGTACCGTTCTCTTCTAGGTTTCGAATAGGCGTACCGTCGTCGACCTCATTTATGGGCCAGTAAATAATAACTGTGAATTTGTTGTGAATGTGAAGATGTATAGACCTACATATCTTCGAGTCTTGATGCAGAACATCCAAAAGCATTGTTTATGTACATATTTATACCAATATATGCGCGCAGTATTTTAAAACGCATATATACCTATACGTGTTTACTCTAGGAATTGTGAATGAAGTAAAAGCCTGATTAATGTTTTCTATTTTCCTGCCAGACACGAGAGAGGAAGGGGAGGGGAGGGGGAGGGGGTTATATACCAGTCCCGTTATTTCTGTTGTATAAAAAATCATCTTGATGTTGTACTATTTTCGAATGAACACATTTTTCAAATGCAATTTCCTTATTGATACTGAATACACACATACATACTCACAACACAAACGCAAACACGTGTGTATACATGCATTCACTTTGAATCCAAAACACAAAACAATTAGGAATGCAATAAATAAATCTAAAAAAATATAGCGAAGTGTATTTAATATACTGTATAAACCAGTACAAAACAAATGAATAGAGACATCTCTCTACAACATGGCTAACAAACACACTATAGACAAGAGACAAAGAAAACTGACTTTGCTTTTGTCTCTCCGATAAGCTTAACCTACGAACCGTTTGACCTTGAAACAGACAAACATTTAAGGTACAGTTAAGTCTTCCATAGCACCTTTCGAGAAGCCATAAAAAGTAAAATAAAAAATCTACGTGTTGCTTAAGGTAAGTAGCAGGTGTAAACATTGATTTAATAAGGATAATGAGAATCTAATGTGATTTACTCATGAAGGGAATACGATGGATCAAAATGTGCAATAATCCCTAATTGGAACCTCATCATAAACTATGACGTCATAACGTAGATGGCACTGAAATACTTCTAGTATGACGTCACTTTGTCGTCTGCGTGTTGAAATAAAAATATAAATAAAAAAGGGCAAGACAAGATTAATAATTCTTCCTGAATAATTTTTTTTCTCGTGTTATAAGAATAGAAATGAAGATGATATATCTATTCACATCAGTATCATCATATAAAAATAAATGATATTTAGATATATATGACGTCACTAGTGTTTATGAGTCATAAGTAATATTAGACATTGTAGTGTTATTACGTCAATGATGATAAATTCCTTTATTTTTTCTAAGAATATAAAAATGATTCTGATATCATTGAATTAATGACAATAATAGTAATAACAATAATAATAACAACAGCAATAATAATAATAATAATAATAATAATAATAATAATAATAATAATAATAATAATAATAATAATATCAATAACACTAATGATATGTGAGCAATGGGAAGGGCTGAAAAACATTCAAAATAAAATAATATAATCCTTAAAGTTGAAGAATCCATAGATTTTTGTTAAACCTTTATAAACCTACTAAGTACCACAGAAGAAACAAAAGACGATTCCTTAAGCAGATTCCGAAACTCTTAATATGGAATCCGATCACAAGCACCTAAACTGAATACAAAAATTCCCATTGTAAGAAGGGAGATAAAAAAGAAGAAAAAAAAGGAAAAAAGGGAAAAAAATTGTCTTAAATGGGAGATTTTAAAGCAGGGAAACATAAGGAAAGAACGAAAGAAGGGGAAGGAGCAGAGGAGAAAAGAAAGAGGGGAAATAGGAGAAAAGAAAGAGGGGGAATAACGCCACACGAAAAAAAAGTGTGGCAGAAGAGAGGAGAGAGGGAAAGGGGACCTAACCTCTCACCAAGAAAGAAGGACAAAGAAGAAAGAATAAAGGAGGGAGGAAGAGGGACGGAGACAAACTTCCTCAAGGAGAATAAGGAGGAGGCTGATCCGGAGGAAGACCCCCCTTGGGAGGCAGCGCGCCGGCGTTGTAATCCACAGGCACATGGGGGTACATCTGGCCCTCTGGCACTGTGGGCTCCGGAACCACCATCCCTTCGCCGGGTGCCGTGGGGTAGGGGGCGGAAGGAGGGGGTTGCATGGCCGCAGGGGGGGGTTGCATGGCCGCGGGGTGAGGGGGCTGGGGCTGCTGGGGGGGTAGCTGGCCTGGGGTAGCGATGACACGGCCGGGGCTGCCGAAGTTCTGGTCGTGGAATTCTCTGTATTTCCTCTTGATGACGCAGCACAGAGCGCCCGACATGATGCAGAAGAAAGCTGTGAAGAAAAAGATTACAATTATGATAAAGGAAATTCAGCTGATAGTAATCTGTGCAACACTGATAACTCTAAGGGGAAGGAGAGAGAGGAAAACAAATAAAATTCATGATGATAAAGGAAATTTGCACCTTAGACCACCGATAACTCTAAAGGCTGTGTCACACTAGCACTTTTTCCGTCAATTTTTTTGACAATTTTATTTGACATAAATACAAACATTCTCGAATATAGCTCTTGATTTGACTTTGCTTGGCTGAAAAAGTTGACGGAAAGGTTTTCAGACGGAAACGATCATTATCGTCTGACTGGAAAATCGACAATTCGCTCAAAAATGGACAAAATTTCAGAAAATTGTAAAAAAAAAAAAAAATGCGGAAGGGTGTATTTTTTTTTCAGCAGTTTCAAAAGTTTACAAAAAGTACACTTGTACCCTTTTCCCAACACTCTCTCTCCCCCTCTAGAGTACAAAGCAAAAAGATAAAAATGATAACACTCAGAATTACCAGAATCTAAAGAAAAGCAATACAGACAGATTTTTGACAATCATTTAAGGGCACCTTGAACTGACTTAAAAGATAATGAAAGATGCCCTGTCTTTGACCAAGGGGCTTTCGTCGTGGGAATAAGTTTAGTTCTAAAACATGAGAATGTGTTCAAGTGTCTGTATTAAAAAGAAAGAAAGAAAGAAAAAACACTTCTATCGCACATTTTCCCGTCTTGATCTCGTCAGCGCGATACAAAAGCAATAAAATAATCCAATCCAATTCTTAAATCTGACCCTAATCGTCATAAAAAAAATAAATTCTACAACAAAGTACGCTACAAAAAAAAAAAAAAAAAAAACAGACGACCCCTAACACCACTACGAAAAGAAAGAAAAGAAAAAAGAAAAGAAAAGAAAGAGAAAGAAAAAAAGAAAAGAAAGAAAAAAAAAAAGAAAAAGAAAAGAAAAGAAAATGAAAATAAAGAAAAAGAAAGAAAAAAAGAAAGAAAAAAAGAAAAGAAAAGAAAAGAGAAAATAAAGAAAAAAAAAAGAAGAAAACGAAAAAAACGAAAAAAAAAACGAAAAACGACCCCGCTTAAACCCCCCATCCCCGACCCCCCCAAACCGACCTCCCAGTGCCACCAAGATGATGCCCGGTGCCACGTCCTCCGCATCGTCATCGTCCTCGTCCAGGAGCGAGAGCCAGATGACGCCCGGCAGAAGGAGACACACCACGCCGAAGACCGCGAGGCAGGCGACGCAGGGGATGCCCAGGACCAAGCTGCCGAACTGGGGGGGGGGGAGAGAGGGGTTGGTGAGACTGGTGGCGAGTGGTGATGATTGGGGATGATTGATGACTGGTGATGATGGTGATGACTGGAGTGGTGATGATTGGGGATGACTGGTGAGGACTGGTGATGATTGGTGAGGACTGCGAGTGGTGATGTCTTGTAATGATTGTGAGTGGTGGCGAGTGGTGATGATTGGTGATGAAGAGTGATGACTGGTGGCGATTGGTGATGAATAGTGATGACTTGTGATGATTGGTGATGACTGGTGGCGAGTGGTGATGACTGGTGATGGTTGGTGAGGACTGGTGGCGAGTGATGATGGTGATGATTGGTGAGATGGTGGCGAGTGGTGATGATTGTGGCGATTGGTGATGATTGGTGGAGTAGTGATGACTAGTGATTGTGGTGAAGTGATGACTAGTGATTGGTGATGACTTGTGATGGCCTGATGACTAGTGATGGCTGGTGATGGCGTGATTAGTGATGACTATTGACAATTGATAGCTGGGGATGATTGATGACTAGTGATGACTGGTAATGACTGGAGGTGAAGTGATGACTAATGATGATTGGTGATGACTGGTGGTTGTATCAACTGATATGGTGGTAATGATGAATATGATAGTATTATTAATTAAGGATAGTATTTATAGGTATCATCAGTTATAACATTGATAATGATAACAAATCGAATCAAAAAAACTTCTATTAATAACAATATTAGCCAATACATTGATTCTATTAATAATAAAAAATACAATAACAATATCACTTACAATCTCCTTAAAAATAAAATAAAATGAAATAATCTTCAGCTAAAAAGGAAGAAAGAAAGAAAAAAGAAAGAAGAAAAAAAGTAAAAAAGAAAGAAAAAGAAAGAAGTAAAAAAGAAAGAAAAAGAAAGAGAAAGAAAAAAGAAAAAAGGAAAGAAGAAAGAAAAAGAGAAAAAGAAAGAAAATAAGTAAATAAAAGAAAGGAAGAAAATAAATAAATAAATAAATAAGAAAGAAAAGAAAGAGAAAGAAAGAAAAGAAAAAAGAAAGAAGAAAAGAAAAGAAAATAAAGAAAGAAAGAAAGAAGACAAAGAAAGAAAAGGAAAGAAAGAAAGAAAGAGAGACAAAGAAAGAAAAAAATAAAAGAAAGAAAAGAAAGAAGAAAGAAAAAGAAGAAAAAAAGAAGAAAGAAAAAGAAAGAAAGAAAAGAAAGAAAAGAAATAAAGAAAGAAAGAAAAGAAAGAAAGAAAAGAAAGAAAAGAAAGAAAGAAAAAAAAAAGAAAAGAAGAAAGAAAGAAAGAAAGAAGAAAAGAAAAGAAAAAGAAAAGAAAGAAAAGAAAAAGAAAGAAAAAAAAAAGAAAACAAAGAAAAGCAAGAATGAATGAAAGAAAGAAAAGGCAGAAAATAATAAATAAAGAAAACAAGAAAAAGGATTAAAAACAAACAAACAAAGGAATAAAAAAAAAAAAAACTCTAAATTCCTGAGGTTCCTCCCGCCACTCACCTGGATGCCCCTCCTCATAAGGCCAGGTCTTCGAGGCGGTTCACCTGCTCCTGAGGCGGGGACGACGGTGGTGGGGGCTGGCTGGTACCCCTCTGGAAGAAGGGGGAAGAAGGGGGGGGGGGGGTCGGTTATTTACGTGAGAGAAATATGGTGATGAGTATGTGTGGGTGGAATGAGGGAAGGGGTGGGTGGGTAATGCGTATGTAACATAATGTACATCTCGCGGGGTGTATGTATTGACAGACTGGCCCCGTGCTATGTCAGGTGCAGGTAAGACCAGTCGACACAAGGCGGTTTAATACCTTCATTGTGTCTTTCTTACTCCACCCTTCTCTTCTTTCCCCCCCTCTGTCTGTGTCTGTCTGTCTGAGTCTGTCTGGCTGACTGTCTCTCTCCCTCTCTCTCTTTACCCTCACTACGCTAGAATTCTCTCTCTCTCTCTCTCTTCCATTCTCCCTTCCTCCTCTCTCTTCACTACCTCCTCTCTCGTTCTCCCTTCATCCTTTCGTTCTATCCATATGTCTGTGTTTCTATGACTGTACCTAAGTCTGTTTCCTTCTGTGTCCCTCTCTTTATCTTCGTATGTGTCTCCTCCCTCAGTTCAGTTAGATTATCTGAACCAATCTGACCAATTAACATGTATTTTCCCAATCACACCTACACCAACCCACACCCACACCCACACACCAATACTATACATCGGTCCGTTTACTCAAAATGACTATACGTACTGCTAAACAACCAACAGACTCTTAATGTACACTAATTTCGAGTAAGGAATAATTACATAAGCTATTGGTATCGCTATCATTTATTTCTTGGAAACATGTTGCGTCTAGATAATGGTCCTGCTTCATTACACCTAATTGCTTCTTAATTACACTAGGCCTTTCTCTTACACAATCAATCTGGCGTTTGGGGATTTTGTTCCTTTAATCTCAAACTTCTAAAAAAAAAAGAGAGAAAAAAAAATAAAAGGAAAAAAAGGCAGTGCAACTTTTTTCTGAACCACGCAAAGTGTTTCTGAAACAGTTCATGAAACTGCATCACTGTCATGAACGAAGCGTTTTGCACAGATATCTACAACAGAGATTTTTTTTTTTTGGTCTTGAAATGTCTG